CGCCAGCATTGATCTTGCGTACAATAAGTCTGTCGGCCAATCGAATCCTCGCTTCTACCACAAGGCTGACCTTCGACCAGAGCAAGAGTCCTGCTTGAAATTGCAACGCATCCTCTTCTCGTGCCACATTTGCAACGGCCTCTTCTTGAGGTTTTGGAGCAGGCATTGGAGGCGCATCGCTACGCCCTTACTCTAGACCAGGACAATCCCGACACCTTGTTCAATACCGCCCAAGTTCTGACAGCCATTGCCGAAGTATATGCCAGAGATCCCAATCACGCTGATCAGGATGTCCTGCAACTACTTGAAGAAGCCTTGGAACTACAGAATCGTTGCTTGAGCATTCAAGAGTTCAAATTCGATGAATATACGCAACAGCAGAACGAAGCGGCCGCCCAAGTTGCATCAGAAAATTCAGCTGAACCCATCACCGACGTGAACGATGAGGGCAATGCCGCTTCCCCCACAACTGGCACTGAAGACCAATGGTTTTCGGTTGTGGAACCAGTGACAAAAGATACCCTCGTTGACACAATTCTTGCACAACTTGGCACTCTCACTACTCTCAGCAGCTTTTTGAGTTCCTCAGACTCCATCCCCATCTCTAGCTTGGCTTATATCGAAGAATATTCTTCAAAATTGGTCAAGACAAAGCTGCCACCGCTTCTTCAGGATGCTGAGCCTGAGAGACTACAAGAAGTTGCTCTCGCTCGGGCAAATCTTGCATCTGAATTGTTGAAAGCAGGCTACCTCTTGGGCTCAGTTGATCCAACCACGTACAAACGAGAGCGAGATGAAGCATTTCAGGTGGCTGAACTTGACCTGGAAAGGAGTTTTCCTGCCCTGCTAGCTAACGCGAATAGTCTAATTGCATTCAACACCGGCCTTGCCGACGGTGAGCCCTCCAACGCCGTCTCCTACGCGTCCATGCGGTGGAGTGCCCTGGCCGCAGCAATAGCCAATATGGCTACAGCATCAAAAGTTTCTGGTCCTCTCCCTGAGGACCTTGCCGAGACACATTTCATCCGTGGGAATTGCTCTCTTCTACAACATCAGTTAGGACTGCCGCCGACATCTTATCACGCGGCCATTGCGAATGGCCCCCAGCTACTGAAGAACGCAGAGACCTTTTATCGCAATGCTAGCAAGCTCTATCAGGACACAGAGCAGAAAGCCGTATCGCAGCTGAGGGCGATCGTTGCTCAGGCTTTTCAGACGCAGGTTGATATCGCCTCCACCGCTGTCCAGCATGACCAGGGTAAAGGACGGGACTGGGTTAGAGCCCAACTTGATGACATGGTCGATGACGGGCTCATCGCTGCGCCGCAATCTCTTTGAGATGTCCAGCGTGGTCACCAAGTTGCACAACTGACCGGCCACTTCGAGACTACAAACTCCTAGCTCCTGAAACTTCCACTGAAAAGTCAGTATGACAAGATGCAGACACTGATCTTCAATCGAGAAATTTTGCGGGACTCCGAAGGATCATGAGGCCCATAAAATACATATTTCCGATATTCACGGCGAAGAAAACTCTTGACCCTCTTAAAGCCATTCCTCTGTCTGCGGCGTTCAAGTTTTGCGTACGGCATTACCGACTCTTTTCGCTCCCTTCTCTCCGTGTGGGCAGGAGACGAAGCAATCTATGCATGTTCGAGAGCTGAGATTTTTATGGCCCTTAGATCATGCGTCTTACCTAGTATTCATATGAGCCCGGCTCTGAGCTCCTCGAGAACGGGTCCGGCAATATTCAGGCAGGCAAGCTTTCCATATCTTAACCGCCAACGTGATGCCCTCTTCCCTAAAGAATCTTTCATACTATAGATTCGGCCAGTTCTTCAAAGATGGAGATGTCCCCAATACCTATCAAGTGGCCTTACGGCAGAGACACGAGAATCTCTTGTCACAAGGCCGAGCTTGTCGAGGTGCAGGTCCTATTTTACGCGCATCGCTACAAGCAGTGCATTTCTCTCTGTGAACAGTTGCAGACGTCGGAGGTATGTCACTTTTCCCGTATGTAACTTCAAAGGGTTTCAGATCTCTGACCGCGTCAAGATTCACGCCCTGCAAAAGACCTTCCTTTGGTTTTACCATGCCATGTCCTACGAGTCAATGGGGCTGATTGCGCACAACCTTTCAGGCAATAAACTTCAGTTCTTGGATTCGGCGAGGGAGAGTTTCAATCTGGCTCTGAAATGGCTTCCTTTGTCCTATGTATCGACAGAAGGAGGAAGTTACGAGCCGTCGGAAGACTCACCTGTCGCACCTGAATTTAGGTCCCCTTCCCCTCCTGTCAACAGAACGCCACCCGCAAGTCGCAAAGGGATGTCCGCGGATGGCTGGGTCACAGAGATTCCACTCTCCGTTTCGTCTAGCAGCGTCTACTCGACAGAAAGCGCCATCTCAAACGGAAGATTTGTTCAAGAGTGCAGTGCATTATCGCCGCAAAAGCACACATACCAAAGAAACTCGGCGCCACATGCCCACATCGACTCACAAGAAGGAACTTCAAAATGTAACCCTTCGGAACACCCAGCTACGCCAGCTCCGGGCGAATCTCGACTCGACCGCAGCGCCAGCTCCAGACAAGTACTGCAAGAAGATCTAGTACCATCACCTCTATTCAGCCGGAATCCCAAACGCGCTTGCCCGCCGCGACCTGATAGCAATGACAATACCCGACCACTTCCTCCTCTCCCATTTAACCACAAGTCCGACTTTAAAGCCCAAGGCACCCGCATCATCCAAGATCCACTGATGCGCAAAACTGCAGTCCAGACCCTCATCGCACGCTTTGAAGGAGTCCTACCCTTAACCCCCTCATCCCCACTAGCAACAGCGCAACCGCCCCTGCAAGAACAAGTCTACGGATTCGAAGCTAGCACCCCTTCCCCTGGCGTCACATCCCCACGCTTTCGAATGATTCGCGACGCGTTCAGTCCCGACCCACACAATGAACATCTCGAAGCGTACCTCGCCTCTTGCGCTTCGACTGCGCTAACGCGCTACAACACGCACCTAGCGGATTTCCGAGGTCAGCTGAGGAAGCATATTGCTTATGTAGATGGGGAAATTGGTCGCGTGCAGAAAATTCAAGGCGAGAGGAGCGCCGCCAGGTCTTTGGGGCCGAAGCACCGCCTTGCGAGCTTCTGGTCTGTTGAGGTCGCTCCTCCTTCATCAAAATCGAAGTTCACTTCGGGATCCACATGTGCAGGCCGAAGCAGCAACCTTGTGGGAAATGGCCGAGGCCATAACCATGGCTCTCTTGGGCAAGATCCACGAGACAAAGTCAAGAAGGAGCAAATCGACAAATTGAGACGCCAAGGTTGGAAAGTGTGCAAAGAGAGACATGGGTTCAAAGGTGTGGAGTTCTACGAGGACCTGAGAAGGCGTGGAGAAGCCGAATTGGATGGTAGGTTCTGATCTGAATCAGAGAGCACGAACGGCACCGGGCTGCTTGCTCTTCCAAGTCCCACAGCCCTGGGTTGATTGATTGGTTGGTTGATTGTTGAGTACGGAATGGTGTTGCGAGTGATGATGTATGACTTGGTTGGGCGAAAACGGAGTGACTTGATTATATTGGATCGTGCATACCTTGTTGCCCAACATGGAAAAAGCGACCGAGTCCCGTGAGAGGTCTTGGGAACAGGGAATAGGGAATAGGGAATAGGGAACCCTGCAGGGCGGGGCCAGGTTTACCGTTCTCACTCGTATGTATTAGTACGGAGAGCAGAATCCACCCAAAGAAAAGCAAGTTTAATCAATCAGCCTCGACAGTTGACAAATCTACGAAGTACCTCGAAGAGTTTGCTTGCCCCTTTCCCTCCCAGGACTTTCCCTTTTCGACGACAAACAACCCTCCTGAGCCTGTGACGACGACAATGCTACCACATAGGATTTCACACAGAAGGGCCCCCAGCGCTCTTGCCACTCTCCTCCTAGTTATTACGACGATGGACGAGGATGAGGACGAGGTCCTGTTCTACTCCGTTCTCTACTCGGTTACCGAAATGGCTCAGAGTCAAGGGGGCCAAGACCACGAGGGGGGACAAGGGGGCAAGGGGTCAGGCCCTACCTGGAAGATAGGTAGGTGGCTAGATGGGTAGATAGGTTTCTCCCTTCCTTCCAAGGAAGATGAGGAAGATGAAGATAGATAGGGGGAAGGGAAGGGGGTGGACGCCGGGTGGTGGGTGGTGGGTGGTGGGTGTTGGGATGGACAGGAGACGATGATGGTGCAAGACGCCACCATCACTGCACACTACAGAGTACAAACAAGAATCGAGGTTGAGTCATGTCAAAGAAAGACATCCGCGGTGTGCCAGTCACAAGGCCCATTCCTCCAAGCGAGGCGAGGCGATTCAAAAAGGCCTTGAAAGAGGCAACACTAGTATGGATCGAGTACCGATACAACGTATGAAGGAAGAAACAGGTATGTACCGAGGTAGCCATGCACAAGGAGAAAGGACGAGCAGTCTTCTGAAGGAGATGGATTTTGTATTTCTGTATCTTGTATCAATATCAGAGTCGACCGATACCCCAGTTCTCCGTAGCCAAGCAGGAGCTGTTGAATCACGATAAGAAACCCGCACAAAATGTGGATTGATCAAATCAGTCCTTCCCCTCTGACCCTCTCGCAATCCCTGAGTATTGGCATTGATGGGCCAACCTGATTGCTCCGTCTCTTCGCAAGTCACCAGTTCCCCCTTGTTCCACAGTAAGATAATTGAGATAGGAAAAGAACTGGATCAATATCATCACGTCGTCATCAATTATTCAAGTCGTCAATCTTCAGCTCACTTCACTCTTGTCTCAACACCTCCATCTTTTTTTTCGGTGTATTTGTCGATGGGTGGAGTTAGTAGTGAAAAGAAAATAAGTCTTCCAATATGAACTCCACTCGCTCCGCGCAAACATGCTAATGTGTACAAGGGCGGCGGGCATGGCCCCTCCGCCGCCATCCCGGACAAGATTTACCACCGAGGAGTCTTCCCCAGCAATCTCTAGTTGTTCATGTCATAATCGATAAAATCGCTATCGTTCCAGGCTGAAGCGAACATGGGGTCGTTGTCAAGAGTGGCGAAGGCCTCAGGACCACCTGGGAACAAAGTCGCTGTGGCGGCAGCAGGGTTGGAAAACGCGCTGCTGCCTTCACCTCCAAACAGTGAGAAGTCATTCTGAGGAAATTCTGGGTCCGAGGCAATCAACGGGGCGTCATTGAATGACTGCCCAGAGGGGCCAGCAATCATGGGAGAATGCTCCGAGATGGAGGGGTTGCGAGAATTCGGCTGGAAGTAAGAACTCGGTGTCGGCAACCCTTGGTTCCAGGAAGTTTGGTTGTTGCAATCAATTGTGATATCCATTGCAGTGTTGTATGGAGATGGCTCGGTGATGTTGCTGTAGGTTGGTGTGATGGGTGTGGTCATCATGTTGGGATATTGAGCAGGCTGATAAGAGCCCTGGAACGGGGCGTTGAAGTCGAAATCATCTCCCATGGGGTTGTATGGCGCTGCTGGGGGATTCCGCGGGAAGATTGGGTTCGAATAAGTGACGGGCGTCGAGTTGAAGTTGTCGAAGGCGTTGACTGGCTGCTCAAATGGTGTCATGGAACTGCTACCTGGCATACTTCCAGCAATGCTTCCTGCAACGGAACTGGCATCGTCCCAAGTTCTAATAGATACAGCTGGACTGGGGGAGTAATCCATGCTGGGGGTTCGTGGAGTTTGAGCTGGTGTCATCTTCGTGACAGCCTTGTCTTTGCCCTTGGCGCGCTCATAGTGCCAGCCGTGTTTCTTTTCCTGATGTTGCTTGCAATTGCTCTCGCGCTTAGTGCGGAACTCACAGAACTCGCACTTATAGTAGACAGGATTTTTGGAATGACGGTCGTTGATGTGGCGCTCCCGTTCCTTCTCGGTCGGAAGACCGAGCTCGTGGTACTTGCAGCTCGTCTCGGGACACTTGAAAGGGCGAGAATGAGTCTTTTCGTGTTTGGCCAGGTCACATTTCCTCGTGAAGATCTTGTCGCAAGTAGGGTCGGAGCACTTCATCTCGACGATCTCGGGGATGTAGCCCTTCTTTCTGCGGGCCATGGACCTTGCCACATCTTCATCGAGAGCCTCGCTGCTCGCTCTCTTGACCCCTGGAGTGGGCGCGTAAGGCAGACCAGTCCTGAGAGAGTAGCCCTTGCCGTTCTTCCAGCGAACGAGCTCGGCTTCATTGCCAGTTTCGCCGAGGCCACCCTCAAGGGTGACCTCATCATCGATGGAGTAAGCCATATCGTCGTCTTCCTCAGCAGTGCCCGCCTGCTGAGCGCGACTGGAAGAACCGATATGCGCAGCTAGTCGGTTGACTTGTTGGACCAAGTCAAGGAAGTAACCGTTGTCGTATGGCCGGTCGGCAGCACGGCGTTGTTCAGACTCAGCAAGATGTTGATATGTATCGACAACAAGCTGGATCGTAAACTCGCCAAAGACGCGGTACAATTGCCTTGAGATGGCAAGGGTCTTGTAATCGACGTCAGATTGTGTCAGGAGTCTGGTGGTGGCGGTGAGGGTGCTTACCAGTGGCTGGAAGATGAGGCTTTGTTCAAGGTCACGCAGGCATCTGACAGCCTTGTTGTTCTTGGATCCAAGAGCAGTGACAAGAGGATGAAAGTCCTCAAAGCGGTCTTCTCGGAGGATGGGTGTGATTATATAGTCCTTGATCTTCTTCCGAGCGGAAGGACTCAATGCAGGATGACGCAGGGTAGGTCGAGAAGCGGGAGGAGCAATGCTCTGCGTGACAGCGGACCGGGTAACGGTGCTGGAAGTCCTAGAGGGGAGACTGCCTCGTGGCCTAGTGGGCCGAGTGGAAGTGTCTGGAGAGTCAGCTACTGTAGGCGGTTGGTTAACACTGTCTGTACACATCAATATGCAGCGGGCAATCCAACCTTGAATTGCTGGTGCAAGACCGTCGTCTTCGGCGGTGTTTCCCACGGCTTTCTCGGCTGAGTCACTGATGGAAGTGCCCAGCCCACTGTCCCTGTTCGACAACAAATCCAAAGCTCTTTCAAAGGACTTGGCTAGACCTTTGTCACTGGCGGGGCTGATCGATGAACCCAAGCCTTCGTCTGATGGTAGTGAGACGCGACGAACCCAGACCTGTTGGTCAAGCAGTTGGGTTGAGCGACGACGGCTGGATGTCTTTCTGCCTCGGGCGCCGGAGAAGGTTTGTTCAAAGTCGGCGATAGACTGAGCTACGTCTTCCTTTTCGGAAAGCCAGCTAGTGAGAGTGGATTGAGAGCATGTTGGAGAGCGACGAGTCAGGTGAGGGATGCTGAGCACCGGGTCATCCTCAGTGGCCGGCGAGGACGAGTAGTGGAAAGTTGCGCCCTTGGACAGGGACATCTTATGCAAGCTGCATGCTGATGACTCTGTCGAAGCGGGGGAAGACGGAGAAAGACCCTTGGTGATGAGTCGAGGAGTACGACGATGAGCAAAAGGGGTGGGAGGAGGAGGCATGGTGGAGGACGCCATGGTTGGTATATGTACACTCTGGATGAGCCAGGCCTGTGGGAAAGATGCAGATGACACGCAGCGTGCTAGCCCGAAGTTTAGCACGCGGTCGATTGGTCGCTTTGGATCATTCCCCGGTGCTTATGACTCACCCGTACAAATAAACCCTCAAGGATATAAACCGAAGACTGAAGATGTACTTTTCTGGAAATCGAAAGTCGCCTATACTCACAGTTGCTGCGTCGTTGATCCTTCTTTCTAAGTTGGTACCAATGATGTCCAGTCGGGAGAACGCCGTCTCCGTGTATTTGCGGGGTTTCCTTTTTGAAAACAGGGTGTGGCCTCTCAGGTCGGGCGCAGGTGGATTGTGGTAGGCGGCGTGCGAGGATGTATACCCGTCGGTGGATGGTCTCGGAAGGAGCGGACAGGTGATATACCGCGATACCAGTGGGTGAGGGCCAGCTGGGCTCACAGCCTGATAGGACGAGTCTGGAGAATGCAGTGTCCGTTGCAAGAGGACAGAAGTGCAATCGAACCGAATGGGGTTGATGTGAGGTTCAGATGGGCAGCGAGATACAGAGGGCCGCGGATGGTGGAGAGGAGACAACCTGAGGCCAAGGTGGCGAGTCCAGGTGCTTCCCTAGGTTTGGGTAGCCGAGTCTGATTGAAGGAGGGGAGGAGGGAGATGGTCAGGGCGAAGAGGTCGCGATTGAGAGGAAGAAGGGTGAGTCGAGATGAGTCGAAGTGAAGCCCGTTGCGCTGATGATGTTTGAATCTCAAGTTCGCTGTTGCCTGCTTGGCACGACCAGGGGACCCCCACCGCTGAAATATCATTGGGCGCAGCCAACGGGGCTCTCTTCGCTTCTCTGCCCTTCCAGTGTGGCGCGGGCAAGCCAGTGTCGGCCAGTGGTGTGCTTGGGCGCTTTTATACTGGCCGTGGTGGTAGCTAGGCCTCAATCACCCTGGTCTCGGTCTTCGGCACCCCTGTTCGTCGGCCGTAACGGTTGCCCACCATCCGCCCAACACCCATCGACCAAGTATCTCTCTGGTCCTTCTGTTTCTTGTCCCATGCTCGACGAACCAGGAGTCTTGTTCCTGTCATGCTCCAAAAGAAGAAGAGCCTCAGAAATCGGGCACCCACTCTCATTAATGATCTACTTGTAGCAGCGACTGGACGGGGATCTCTCTCAGCCCGTTCATGATGGATGACATATTCGAAGCTCACGCCATCGCTTATCTAATCGATTGCACAAATCCGTGTCAGCCCTGCCAAGATTTATGCCAAGAGACGGAGTCGGCACGAAATCAAGCCGTTGCACAATCGAGACATCGCTCCATTATGACGATGGTCATGGTAAACCCCCAGAATTGGTTATGCTCTGGCACATCTCTCTCTCTTCCTTGTCCCAATCCAGATCATCAAGTTGGAATCACAATGGTGCTCTCACATGGCAACCCGTCAATCCACCGGGCCCCCTCCCCGGAATCTCCCCTTGAAAAAAAAAAAATTAACACGTCCAGCGAATGTGATCCGGAATGGATAATACGCAAGGGAGAGGGGCTGTGGCAGTGCAACAATTCAAGCTTCGACGGCAGCAACCATTGAAACTCACAAGCGTGCAGTTTCCCATATGGACTTTTGGTGACAGTCGCCACCTTGTCCACTTTGGGGCGATTAATATCCATTCGTTCCTGGTTCACAATGTGCAGGATTCCGCTAGACAGGAACCGCACAAACCGGTGAATGCACCAGAGGCGCGTCTCGCACACTTGCAATTGGCTGATATGCTCCAGATGCAAGGAACTTCAGGCCTCCCATCCGTTCATGACGCACGCCTCTCCAAAAGAACTACAATCCCAAGTACTTGTGCTTTCTGTATCCCTGCATGTCTTGGGAGGCCCTACCGGGTTCTGTAAGTGGGAAAGAGCTGTGTCTTCCACTGCCGCGAAAACTCCACAAGGAAAAGGCCCGACCAAACGACAGAATGCAGCATTTCCTATCCAGTCCTAGTACCTCATGGGTCCAGCTTTGTCACCCTCCTGTTGCAAGCTTCCTCGTATTTTGTACCAATCGCGACACCTCGCTTTGCGACATTTGAGCCTTTGGACCCTCTGTCTGCGTGTGTCACTGCCACGCTGTCACCTGATCCATCCAGATGATCATTGCTTCGGGTGCTTTTGTTCTGGGTGAGAACGAGATCATTGGCGTAGCGCGTCTCGCGTGCAACAGGATGTCAGGCTTATTTCGTCGAAATGCGATTCCTCTAACGGTCTTTGTTTGCTAACAAGTACAGAAAACCTCACCCGGGACTAGTTCGTTAACCAGCCTCCAATCCCCAAGATCCCTCCATCTGGCCCTTGGCTGTCCATGGTCCATTTTTTCACGGGTGCACAGCCAAAGTCCGTTGTATATCCAGCCTCGAACATCTCCATACCCGTCCACCCAATCATCGCAGCATTATCCGTGCACAGCTCAGTGGGTGGAAACACCAGCCTCATGTGCTCAAAAGAGCGCACATCCAAAAGTCTTCGCAGGTAGTAGCGCAGGAAATCGTTCGCCGCGACCCCTCCGCTCACAACCAGGGCGGGAATTTCGACGCCCTCTGCTCGGAGTTTTTCCAACGCAATGATAGTTCGCGAACCCAGATGCTCGAACGCCGTACCCATGGCGGCCCGGGCCAATAGAATCCGCTCTGGATCCTCCATTGGACGGTTCGCTTTTTCCCGTGCCAGTATACACCTTTTGATCTGGCTCGCAATGCCTGAGAAACTAAAGGCCAGATCTCTGTTTTGAGCCATTGGAGTAGTCAACCTCCATCCAAACTCGTTCATTGGCTTATTGATCTCTTCAATGCGCGTTTGAGGCACATCCCAGGACTCGAACTCTTCTGGGTCCTTGAAGGCGTACCTGGAGAGGTACTTGCCAAACGCAGTATCCGGGGTGCTCTGCCGCAGTTCTTGGGGCAGGATGAGCCGTCCGCATTTGTCCAACTCATCTCCAACGGCCGTGTCGGTAGTTGTAGCCAAGATCTTATGGTCTACCAGACCTTTCGAATAGAGTAGCATTGTATGCCCGCCACTAACCAACAATGTCAAGAAGGGAAACGTTGGCTCCAGAGAGCCTTTCTCAGGAGGTCGGTCTTCCGCCATCGCATAGACCAGCCTTGGTGTCAGAGCATGGGCTTGCATGTGATGGACGCCGACAAGGGGTATCTGCCATGCCGTCGCGAGTCCCTTGGCCGTGGCCAGTCCGACACCAAGATTAGCTGACATTCCCGGTCCCCTCGTCACCGATATAAAGTCTGGCTTTTGCTTCGGGCCCCCATCCTGAAGCCATATTCTCTTTGCGTGGGGGAGTGCGTCATTGGCGGCAGGTAGCGATGGCAGTGCGTTCTTCAGCAGTTTCGAGAGGTGCGCCTGGTGACTCTCGAGTGCCTCGGTGGGGAGGATGCCGCCTTTGCCGGTGTTTTTGGCAGTGACCTTTTTATTGAAGAGCAATCGCGTCTTCGCGTGTTGCGGCGCACTGGATGTTCTGCATTTCGAAAGGATCGCGACGCAGGTGTCGTCGCAGGAGGACTCAATCGCGAGGGTGAGGAGGCTGCGCCGAGGCGCAAGAATGCTGGCAGCTCGTCGACATGATCTGTGCAAGGCCTTCCAGTGACGCGAACCATGAAGCATCGACGTAGATGAATGATTTCAACAGCAGGCTGCCTCTGTTACAAGCGACGGTGCCATCAAAAATTGGTGCGGATGTGAAATTTGAGACTTGAATGACCGGGATTTAACCGAGCTCCAACTCCGCCATCACAAGACCATCATCAGCTTCCCATCGAGCTCCACAAACTCCCTTGGCCTAGTCAGTTCCCTCTCCACGGACCATAGTTCTATAACTACGCTGAATGGCAATTTCGCATGAAATATATCCGTGTGAAACCGAGGTAAGTGCCTGTCGTTGGGTATACTACCGGCGATACCAGCAGTTTCAAAATGATTTGACGGGCCGAATCCAATACGCAAGCTGGTCGGCTTCAAGAAGATCATGGACATGGACGATTGTCCTACGCAATGGAAGGGTCATCGGTCGTCTACCAGCCTCTCCGAGAACAGAGCGCTACATGGCTTCATCGCTTGTCAGAAGGTGTCCACACTCGATCGATTGCGCAGATGCGAATTAGGTTTGTATGAATCACCACTCAACTCGTTGATGTCATGACTATGCCATGAGGCACCCAGCCGGGGTATATCAACCCTCAGAGACTCCAACAAGCAAAGTTTGGTGTTCTTAATCTTTATCCTCCATTGCAAAGCGACAGAGGGAAAATATGCAGCGAGTCCCACTTCTCTATCGCATCGTTCCGCGTTTGAACGGGACAGGCGCGTTGAGCCGGACATTTGTCTCTAGCGGTCCCCGTCAGGTCGGGACGCCCCAACCCAACCCCTCGAACAACAACCACAACAACACAGGTATCAGTCCGCATTGGATCGTCGCCCAAGATCCCAAGCTGACAAGGAAGAAGAACAGATGAACAAAAGCCACGCGACGGGGGAGAGCATAGTGCCCGAACCTGTACAGCGAGCGGCCCCAGAGGGATTAGAAAAGGCTCCCCCTGAGAGCGTGCACCCAACCAAGGGCAGCGACATCGATCCCCGCAAGGGAGAAAACACAAGCTTCAAGAGCCACGCTACGGGGCCAAGTGTTGTTCCCGAATTTATTCAGAAAGCGGCGCCGGCGAAGCTGGAGAAGGCTCTCCCAGAAAGCATCCACCCGACCAAAGGCAGCGACATCGATCCTGAGCCGGTCCAGGAAAAGATTGCAAAGTAGAATGGGACAATCTGCCTAAGAATCGGTTCCGAGGCGGCCGATGATATCCAAAGACCTATCTGAAAAACTATGAGCAGTATCGGAAACGTATACGCCACCAATGGAGCACGGGTAAACCTGGTCAATGTGCATTAACTTGCCTACCCCTCCTCTGATTCTGTCCATGCGAGATCATGACCATACCATTGCGCCTTATCCTTGCCATCCAACCACAGATGCTCTAGCTAGTATTATGGAACATGCTTTTATCGATTCCATTATATGCCGAGAACTATTCGGTGTGTAATTTGCTGCCTATGGAGCCGAGCCATGGTAATGTTTGCGAAGAAGAAGATCTCTACCTAAGTACCTTAGGTACCTATCTAGGAGCCTAGAATACTCCAGGTGGCGCCGTATATACCACACCAGCGTCCTGAACTGGCGAGCTTTAACAATCTTGAGCCGAGACACGTGAAAACTCCCGGCTTCCGGACTTCCTTTAAATCTAAAAGTGCCAGCAGACAACAGCGCGACCACGGTTCTGCTCCTATCTAAGCAAGGTATATGTCCTATTCTCTTAGACAATGTGCTTCGCTTTGACGAAAAGTTCGTCAGGGAGTGTAGAGATCTCGATTCTAGTTCCACTAAGAATCTTTTGTCGACGGGCTAAGCATTTAGGATAGCTTAACAGTGAGAGTTCGGTTTTATGCCCATTAACTACGGGGCCAGTATAAAGATGCGGGATGAAATTAATTTTGTCCCGCACCAAGCCGGGGTAAATCGAGTGTTTGCAACTTCTTACAAAACCCAAATGCTCAGGCCAAGATCGCTCTAGAACATCTCATAGACCTTTACGCTATCGGGCTGGGAGGTCCGGATATCTCGCCTCCAAGATGGGCTGGATTGCTGACTAGAAGGCCCCCTAGCGGTCGTCTGCAGGTTCCCAGTCCTCGTATGTATGTCTGATACTTTATTCTCGCAGCTCTTGCAGGAAGCCGATGACCACGCTTGTCTTGTATGTCGCTAGACCTAGCGAGATAACGACAGTTACAGCCGGTTTGTATATATCGCCCATTTGCCGAACTTGACCTCCTCGTTTTTGCAATTGTCCTGGTCGATGCAGATACCGTCCACCCAAAGCATCCGATCACGATCTGGTGAACGTAGGTGCCAGAGGGCAATATATAAGTTCAGCGTGATTCATAGCCTTCTTCTGTTTACCAGTTTACACTTTGGAGTTTCCATACAGCCCCATGTATATGATAGAGCTTCGTAAGAAATAGTGCTTTGCCGTGAATGAAGCCATGCCTAGAAAAGGTTACATTGAATGTCATTCTACTCGCCTTTGTGAAGGCGAAGGAGCCGAAAAGTTGGTCTTTCGAGATCAAGGGGGTCGTATTTATACAAGTCCATACTTGTGGTAGGAAAAGATTGAGTTAAGAACACAGCAAGACGTCCGTTTTTATACACCATGACTCCTCCAATCATGTAGATTGAATTTGCCACAGAGCAATAAACAAGATTCTGAGAGCAGAACCAGCCTTTAAGGCCATGGAGTCGACACATTCAGCGGCTGTGTTCAACCTCGAGCCCGTGGCGAGGGAGGGGAATAAGGCACCAGCGGTGGCCGACATACGACGCCGACTTGACGTAAGCGCCGCCGCTCTGGGCGACAGAGAGGCAACTCTTGTAAAGAGGCCGTACGGTGTGTCACCAAGGAACCTCTGTATTAAGGAGAGAGATACGGAGCATGGAGAACTCCTTTGGGTGCCCAAAGTGCCGCAAGTGCCTCTGCAGGAGACGCCAAGACGCCAAGGCCCATCTCGCAGACAGCGGGTTGAGTTTCCTTGACCCTCCAAACCCTGCAGCCCTTATCACTTTCTCCGTCTCGTACCAAGTCCGACCAGCACTTCGAACGACAATGACTCGAGAATGACCGGCGTAGCATCGTTGGAGTAATGTGGCGAACCGATGGCATCGTCGTCTCGCCCTGACAGACCTTGCGATGCCTGCCGCAAGAGAAAGATAAGATGTTGGGTGTCTGATTCAGGCCGTGATTGCGCTCTGTGCCGGTCTCATGGCCAACAATGCACCTTCATTGAGGCGCCTCCCAAGAAGAAGCGAAAGCAAATCGATGCAGCCTCCCCGGACGAGGCTGCTGTCCTCTCAGTCTCGCCAGCCACAACCCAGAAAGGACAACCGCACGATTACTCGAATTTTCCAGAGGCATCGTTGCTAAGGCAGACTCTTGGTCATCAGCACTTTCGAACAAACTCTTACATCGGCGCCACGTCGTCTCCAAGCCGTCTGCTGCTTGAACTTCCGGCTATCTCTCAGCTAGGCAAATATCGAGCCTCTGTCTCTGACGGCGAGGTCCGTCGCGTCGGCCAGAATGGCTATTTCCTCATGCTTCCAGATGACCAGGATGTCATCAACGACCAGCTTGAGGTCCTCGACAAAATCGAGGCTACAATATCGCCCCATGGACCAGCTCTGGTTGAGCTATACTTTCGTATCGTTCACCCCAGCTTCCCAATTCTTCACAAAGATGTCTTCCTCGTGAAGTATGGTCGCTCATATCGGGAACTAACACCGGCATGTTTGGCTGCTGTTTATATGTTGGCCTTGAATTGGTGGTCCTATAGCGTTGACCTTGCTTATTTCGTGAAGCCTGATGTCTTGGGCCTTGAACAAGTTGTTCCATGTCTAATGGCGTTCGATAAGGCCGCCAAAGTCTCCGATATCCAGGCCGGCTTACTGTTCTTACAGCGACCCAGACACGATTCTTGGAGATTGACGGCTCAACTAGTTGCTACTGCCGAAGAGGTTGGTTTGCACCGCGACTGCACGCATTGGCAAATTCCTGACTGGGAGAAAGGCGTACGCAGACGCCTCGCCTGGGCTCTCTTCATGCAGGACAAATGGGGAGCCCTCGTGCATGGACGTCCCTCACACATCAAGGCGGACAATTGGGAAGTCTTTCCACTCGAACAGGATGACTTTCCAGAGAATGTGGAAGAAGATGACGTGGAGCAGGGGAGCTCCGAGGTGGAGAAAGGCATTCTGATCTTCATCCATCTCTCAACACTGACACAAATACTGTCCGACGTCATCGACGAGCTGTTTACCGTGCAAGCCAGCAAGAGACATGACAGCACGGTTGCTCTACTGCAAACAGTTAAGCCGATCCAACTACGACTGAAGGCTTGGTATAGCAATCTTCCCTCTTGTTTGGAACTCGGCACTACCAAATCAAGAAAATTGTCGGCTACAGGTATGTAGAGTGTGGGAAAGGCGTTGTATTCCGGATTAACCACTGTCCAGGGCAACTATACCTAGCCTATCTGACTGTGGAGGTGACTCTCCACCGAGCGATTGTCGAGTCAGAAATGAAACAGCCTCTAGACGCTGGTCTGCGACGGATAACACGAGAAGCGGCGATCATGAGGTTCAAATCCGTTGTCGACTTTCTGAAACGGCTGAAGCCCGAGCATATGCAAGGATTCTGGCATTTCGCATCGGGATCCTGTTTGGCTATTATCGCCACGTTTTCGCTGGTGCTTCTTGCGACAAGCACTGAACCGAGCGAGTCGAGAGCTATCCATTCTCAAATCGCCGAGTTTCGATGGCTGCTCAACATCAACGGACCCGGCGCTGGCTTCACCAAATCCGCGGTCGATCTCCTGCAATCAAATGCGGGTTTCCTGGCGACATATCGCCCTCAAGGTCCCCCCAACGTCATCCCTGGTCATGATCAAGGACTGACAGATCGGTCCGCGGATCAGACACGGTCGATGACATTATCAAACACTGAAAGCCAAGATGAGGCTGACAGCCCCATACCGAACACGCAGGCGTTCGAAAATATTGCTGAAAACCTCCAGGCCTCACCATCAGGTATTAGCTTTAGCCCGAACCAGCCCTGGCCCTATGATTTCGATGACCTTGTCTCCCAGACCTGTACTACGTAGCTCCAGTGTATCACCCTCAAAATCCGAACAACGAAGCCAAAGGGTTATGAGAGCCTTCAGTTATCACAAGGCACCTTCACTCGAGAGGTTCTTGGCCGTAAGACGATATTTTTCCCACTCGATCGCAGTCGAACGGAGGATAACTGCGCGAGCCTCGAACAAAAGGTCTGCGATTTGTGTTTTTGACCCGTGGACTTATCCGTTAACATCCCTATCTCAGGATCTGCCCGCGGGCATTCGCGAAGGCCACGGGCTCGCCGAGCAGAGCCCGTGTCACGTGCCTTGGAAGTACTCTTCTATCAACCCCTCTGCCGACCTCAAAACTTAGATCAATTTATGCGTATCGCTCAAATTTCCCTATAAGGCCCAAAGACTTCACCTTGGGCACTGCTTTGTCATGGCTTTGCAAACTGTAGACCACGTCGCTATCAGCCTTGATGCTCTTAACGTCGACCCTCTACAAGGAACAAAGTACGACTTCAAGAGAGATCTTGTGGGCTACGGAAGAGACTCTATACATCCGCGCTGGCCGAATGATGCCAAGATTGCTGTCTCTTTTGTCATCAATTATGAAGAAGGCGCCGAGAGATCACTATTGAATGGCGACGGGCAGACTGAGAGCGTCCTGTGGGAACAGGCTCATGTTGCACCGCGCGTTGGATCCAGGGATCCTAAGATCGAAAGCGACTATGACTACGGGGCTCGTGTAGGAGTTTGGCGTCTTCTGAACATGTTCGAGAAGAACAATATCCGAACCACCATCAACGCTGTCGGCCAAGCTCTTGAAAAGAACACACCACTCGCCCGAAGCCTAGTGGAAGGTGGCCATGAGATCGCTAGCCACGGTTACCGCTGGATTCCTTATCACAACATGAGCCCAGAAGAAGAGAAACAGTACATGTTGCGCCAAATGCAATGCTTGAAAACCACAACCGGAACATATCCTTCGGGATGGTTTGTCGGACGTTGTTCGCCTCATTCCAAAGCCTTGATACACGAAGTCCACGAGGAGCTTGGCGCGCCCTTACTGTACGAAGCGGATTGCTTTTCAGACGACCTCCCCTACTGGGCTGATGTGCCTGCGGAGAATAATGCGAATCGACCCAAGGGCATGTTGATGCTCCCTTACAGCTACGACAACAATGATCTGAAATATCAGATCGCCCCAGGTACATGGGGCTCTTCAAGTGCTTTCTTGGAGTACCTGAAGAGTTCCTTTGACGTCCTCTATGCTGAAGGGCTCGAAGGTCGACCAAAGATGATGACGATCGGCTTGCATTGCAGGATTAGCGGCAAACCTGGTAGATTTGCCGCGGTGCAGTCTTTTGTCCGATATGTTCAACAACACCCCGATGTTTGGATTACGACCCGAAAAGACATCGCGCTGCATTGGCACACAACATTCCCCTATGTCAGGAACAGCGTGGCGCTCGATGATGGAGTGGCTGGAGGTCTCCAACCGGATCTTCCAAAGGTCGATAATCTTGTTTATGCTCGAATTTGACCAGGCTCGATAGTCTCACAGTCAGCCGAACATATCCAATTACTTCTTGTGAACGGCATATCGCACCATAACAGCACCTGCCTCTAACTGGTCTATCACGATTATCTCTCGACCAGCTTCACTTTCGAGCTCTTCCAGGCATGCTTCTCTAACCAGAGATTCCATGCCAAACAAAATCACACCACCTATGCAAATAGCTGCAATCTCAGACTTGCCGAGTAGCTTCTTCACCCCTGCTTTTATCTTCGCTTCTACTATTCCTTGCGAGTTTTTGGCGAAGTCAAGTATGTCCACGCCTGTTGAAACCACCCCAGCAAAACAAGAATCCGCTCGAGATTTGCCAAGTAAGCGTACCACACCCTCTTGGAGTTGCTTCTCGTATGCTTCTCCGGTTGTCAGGATTGCAAAGCGCTTAGCGGGCTGGAGACCACTGAGAGCGGCGTATATGCTGGCTTCAAAGATGCCCACGATCGGTTTTGGGTCGACTCGAACTCGCAATAACGTGACAAGTGGGTGATCTGCATAGCACGCCAACAAAAAGCCATCATAGTCTTCGGTGGTATCGAGCAGTAGCTGAAAACATGTGTCTGCGTTTTGGTCGATATCGTGGCATTGCAAAACCGGAGGCCCGCCAGGGCACGTCCAATATGTGCTCAGTGTCTAAAATGCGTTCAGCTTCCATCTGCACTGCTTCGCAGCAAGGTGCATACTTCTGGATCCAGGTGGCGGTCGATACCCGATTTAATCAATTGAGTAACCGCACTCGATCCGTTCGGATTTATTATCAGCACTCTCCTCAGCATCGTCCGTGACGCTCGCTTCTACGCGATTTTCGAGGCGTGGAAAGCAAGAGCACTGTCCAGAGCAGTACCTCCACGACTTGTGCACAGCTTTGGCAATATGTCTGTCTCGGACGTGGTTGGTCAAGTCATCGAATCCCGTTATCGCGGGGAGCCCGCGGGCTTCGAATGATAAGCCCGCTTGCAGCTGATTCCACCAAAGTCTAGATCTGGCCGGGGATGATAGCCTTGCGTGAGGTGTTGGACGTTGTTTGCAATTCTACAGTATACATCACATCTATTTATGAGGAATTCGACTCCCACGTGGTGGAGCTTTTGCTGTACGGGGATCCGTCCCTGCAGATACAATTGAAGCAGCTGTCAACACTATATCATCACGCAAAGCGCAGCCTCGAGTATCTTGTTCGTCTCCAATGGGCAAGCTTCGCCGATTCTACGAAAAGCACATCGTGCTATACCCCCGTGCGGGGGCCTTCACCTCAGAGCCAGACGCGGCACGATGGAGTAACAAGGATCTCGACCCGGTGCCTGAAGAGAAGAAAACATGGGAATGGTGGCAGTAAGTCCTGCTGTTTCCGCTGCTTGTAACTTGGTGACCGAAGAGCTAAACACTCTTGCTCAGTGTTGGGGGCTTCTGGATTGCTGAAGGTTTCAATCCCGCACAAATGCAAGTGCCTTCCAGTGCTGTCGCGCTGGGGTTGAATCCAGGTCTGGCAATGGTGGCTTGCTTGATCGGAAATATTCTCGTTACTGGGCCTGTGTGCATTGTGGGTTGGCTTGGAAGCAAGGTATAGCGGTTCGCGAACCCAACATGGCCCTCGCTAATCATCTTACAGTATTCAGTCCCATTCCCGGTCATTGCTCGAGCGTAAGTGGGAACAGTTCTCTCCTGAAGCGGACGCTGAGAACACTCCAGGTCGTATGGCATGATAGGCGCATACTGGGCAATGGTAATTAAGTCCAAACTTGTGCGAGTTCCTGACTGACGTTGGCAGATCATCCGCGGTATTTTCTGCGTCATCCTTTATGGCGTTCAAGCGACTCTCGGTGGCAATGCTGTTCGATGCATGCTTGAGGCCATCTGGCCGTCCTTTGCCCACTGGCACTTGGACAGCCTTCCCAAAAGTGCGGACATCACGGCCCCGGACCTGCTTTGCTTCGCTCTGTTCTGGATTGCCTCTTTCCCCTTGCTCTTCGTGCCTATGTCCTCACTGCGCTGGCTATTCGCGGTCAAGATTGCAATCATGCCATTCTTCTATGTGGCGCTGTTCACGTGGGCACTGACCGCAGGCCATGGCGTTGGGCCTTTGTTTTCTATTCCCAACAAGATCACCAGCGGATGGTCGATTGGATACGTCTTTTGCTCAACAATCCTGGCCACCATCGGAGGCAATGCCAGTATGTATGACCGCCTCGTGTGGGAGATTCTTGCTAATTGCGATGCCAGCCTTCGCGGTCAACATGGCGGACATCACACGCTATGCCAAAAATCCTCGGAGCTCAGCTATTGCACAGGCATTTGCACTGCCGATATGCATCACAATGAGTAAGTCGATGGAGTGCCGCGAACAAAATTGGGACTAACTTCTGCTAGTTGAGTTGCTGGGAGGTGAGGAATATGTTCGGATGGTACTTCGCTCGACTGACACTTTTCCCAAGCACTCATGGCCGCCACAGCCCAAGTCGTTTACGGCCAGGTTCTCTGGAATCCGTTGACGATCATTCTTCTCTGGAACAACCGAACCGCAAAATTCTTTGCCGGCTTGCTCTTCGCATTTGCGACCATTGCAACAAGTGGGTCCTTCGACGTTCTATCGAGCCTCTGTTCTTCACACTGACACTCTTTTAGATATCACTGGAAACAGTATTCCCTTTGCTCATGACATCGCGGGAATCTTCCCACGGTATATGAACGTTCGGTAAGCCATCCAGCACCCGGCTTCCAGGCGGGGCCATCCGGTCTCAGCAACTGACGGCGATAGACGCGGGCAGGTGCTTTGCGCTATTCTCGGGTTTGCAATGAACCCTTGGGTCATTCAGGCTAGAGCTTCTCGCTTTTTCAACTTTGTCGGAGGGTACTCGATATTCCTGGGCCCGTTGGTTGGAAGTAAGCCACACCACATCCCACTGCGTCGGTTCTTGCGTCCTCCACAGATATATCTCTGACTCGTCCTCCTAGTCATCCTGTGCGACTACCTCATCATCCGGAAAGCTAGACCATACAATATATACCACCTGTACAGACAGGGCGGGCTCTATTGGTACTGGAAAGGCTGCAACTTCCGCGCCCTGACAGCGTGGTTGGTCGGCGTGGTTCCGCTCCTGCCAGGTCTGATCTACAATATCAACTCCAACATCAAAATGGACAAGGGCATTTTGGAATTCTACACGCTCGGCTGGCTCGATGGACTGGTCATTGCATCGTAAGTTATTTTCCTCCTCCCAGCACGCGGATCTACAGCTGCTAAGAACAAATCCGCCGTCTCTAGTATCACATACTACTTGCTATGTCTGGCTTTCCCCTTTCCGACAGAGGTAGAAGACGGGACCGTTGTTGTGGTCGGGACCAAGGACGTGGAAACTCTCAACCCCGATGAACCTCGTGGTCCGCCTGACGAAAAGTCTGCATTTTGATAAAGGGGCCGGAAAACCGGGTTTCTGCCCATTTCGGAATCCTGGGATACATACTGAAACGCACGCACCGCGAAATCATGTCAGGTCGCCAATGGATGCACATTCTGGCCCCTTCCGAGTACATATGTAGTATATAGGAGGAGACCCCGTCGCTGTTTCCACCTCTGCATGTGTATGTGTTTAACATCCCGTCCGTCCAACACTCCACGTAATATCATTCATCATACAATAGAAGGGGAAGAAATGCACCCGCTTCTTCGAGTCTTTTTCGAGATTTGCTTCTTTCACAGGTCTCTAGGGTGTCCGTCGCAGGCGGGCGGAAGCTGGGAGGGATCCAACACGTCGTCGAGCAACCGCCTCCACACACGGGGTGCCAGAGGCAGAGAGAGGGCTTGACGACATATGAGTCAAATCAACACTACATAGTTTGACTCCAGCCCGTGCTCATCCGTGCACAACAGATGCAAATGCCACTCGCTAGATGCAAAGTGCCAAGTGCCTGCGGGTTCCTAGTCCTCGACGATTATTACTATGATTACAATGTCCCAGCATCTGCGGGATAAGCGAGTCGCACACACCTCACAGAGGCACCGGCTCTTGTTCTGGAAGAAAGAGGAAAGATTTTCAAGACACGACCGAAGTCTCTATTTCTACCTCGAGGCTTGGTTTCCCCTCCCCTCCCTATCTATACCTTTGACGCTCGGCGTGCCTCCATTATATTTGCTTGGATCATCTTGCCCACATTAGGTCCCTCGTACTTGCGGACGGCGTGGACGAACCACCAAAAGGTCGTGAGCACGACGACTCCGACAAGGATGACGGAATTATAGTTCATAGTGTCCACAGTGGTGGGGAGAGCATACTAGGAATTAAGAATGAATGAGTTAACTTTAGCATAAGTGGGAGGAGCAAAGGGGGAAATGAGGGTGTGGGTCTAGACAAAACAACTCACCGGAAAGCAGAAAAAGGTGTCGAAGAAGATGATGAACAAGACGGCGAGGCCGTTGATGAGGTAGCCCAACTTGCCCAAAGTGAAGGGACCGACAGGCATGTACTTCCTCCGCGTAAGCATGTTTGGCAGGATGGTTACGGCGTATGAGGCGCTGCTGAGAACGACAAAGGAGCCAGCCAAGTCGGTGAAGGCAGTCGCGCTGCCCAGGGTGATGGCGCAAAGACCGATGGTCAACAATCCAGTCAAGAGGGTGGCTTCGATTGGGCAGCTGAGCCTCTCGTTCACGTGGGAGAAGAAGCCCGCGAAGGGTGTTGCGTTGTCGCGAGCAAGGGCCCACCACGTTCGTCCAACGGTCAAAAAGGTCCCGATCAAGCAAGGGATGAGTGACAAGAAGATGATGAAAAGCAGGCCGAATGTTGCTGCGCGGCTGCCCGTCGCTTGCGAGTAAGCCTGGGCGAGTGGGAATGAGCCGTTGCTATTCTGGACCGCGGCGAGGTCGTTGACGCCGTAGAACAAGGCAATAGCGAAGCACCAGGCGTAGAGGAATCCGAGCCCGAGCTGAACAAAGATGGCCTTTGGTAAGTCGCGTTTTGGATTAGGAAGTTCCTCAGCCATGTGCGTCACAGCGTCGGGCGTTCCAATGGTGAAAGCCCCGTTGAGAACACCAGTCAAGAAAGCGACCCCGCCACTCCATCCAGTGTTGTTCTGGAAGTCTGTCCAGACGAACCTGTTGGACGCATGCGAGCTCGGCATCCCGGCGAGGACAATGATGGTGATGATGCCGCCCACCGTGACTATGAACAGCCCAAAGTGTTGGAGGTAAGCCAGGCTGCTGTTGAAAAAGATGGTGACGGTCAGGCACAGGATTATGATGCAAACCAAGCCAACGAAGAGATTCCAAGGCTGGATGACGTAGTCGGGATGGTACAAAAAGTACATTTGGACGCACAGCTCCGACATGATGTACGCGATGGACGCCAGGTCAAACAGCCAGCCGAAATAGTTCAAAGAGCCGGCGAAGAAACCCACAGGACGGCCCCATCTGGGTCCGGCAGTGATGGTGGCCCAGTGGTACACGCCTCCGGAAGAAGGCACCGAGGAAGCAAGTTCGGCAATGGACGCGTTGATAAAGCTGTAGTAGAATGCGGCAATCCACAATTCCCAAATCACCCCGGGCGCGCCCCCGTTGTAGATAGAGACTGCGAGCGATGTCCCCAGGGCGACCCAAGCATTGTCGACCGTCAATGCGAGACCGCAGATGCTCAACAGTCCATACTGGCGATCCAGCTGATCGACATGACCGGAGGCATTGACAATCTCTCCTTCCAAGGAGATCACAATCTGCTGTTCACCAGAGGTGAGAGGTCCCTCCGGGGTTTCGGGTGATTTCTCTCTTTTCACCTCGTCCATTTTCTTGCAAACGTGGAATGTAACGTCAGGAACCCGGTATACATGTAGAAGGCCTCAGTTCCACGTGCACCGCGTCACAACGAGCCTCGAAAGATGTGACAGAGAAGCGAAGCAGTTTGGGGGATCGAAGCAATAATATGCAAAAAAAGAAAATGCATCACACCGAAGAAGGTCGATAAGGGCCTTGCGCCACCAGGCTGGGGACCCAAGCTCGTGTCTGATTAGGGAAGCTGGAGATAGAGATAGACTCGACCATGATGATGGGAATGACACGTATCTTTCATGAAGCGGATATCAAATATAAACAGTCAGAAGCTATTCGAGATGACGAGCGGACGATAGGGTGATGGTTGGTGATTGGCCGTAGATAGGCTTTGGGGGTCGTCGACGTCTCAGATCTCGTTACCAGCGAAAGGGGCTGAAGGGGGCCTCGGGCCGGTGAGGCTAGGGTTAAGCTTAAGTTAGTACCCATGAGAGCCAGGGCTTGTAGCACGCGGACAACGATGAGAGGGAAGTTTGCACAACCTCATCCACTGCTCAATTGGACGACATGAATAGAAACTGCGAGTTGGGTGGCCTCGCTACCTCGTACTTGTGTGATGTTGTGGCCGCCGAGCCGCCAAGGCTTTGTCTGTCTGTCTTTTGTCATTACAAAGCTTGGCAACACGTGGTGCAAGTGGATGCCCACCACAAACTCCCTCTTCATTGACATCCAGCTTCCAGCACTCCCTTGTACAATTCCTCCTTCCATCTGTTGAGAGACGGGTCTCGGAACAGTCCAGGCTGTGGCTCCGGGGCGCCGTGTTATCTCCAGAGGCGGACTGCGATGAATACAAGCCCTTAGGCAGCGAACAAAACCCGGTGATCCTGCGGGATACCTTCGGACTGTCGCCGCCACCTCCCCACCGCGGCATCCTGGGGCGTCGAGAGACGCGTGGCAGAGCTCATCGTGGGGTTACTCAGTACCGCTTCAGCAGGTCTACCCGGACTCAGTCACCTTCCATCTCACTTTGCTCCGTCATCAGGATTCAGCGAGGGGCATGTTACTGTGCGTTGACAACACCGCACCGACGATAGAGTTGTACCGCTTCGAGGCACTCTCCTGAGCAAGAAAGACCGCTTGCCTGTTCAGTGTATGAAGGGCATTCCCAAAGGCGCAGAAAGTCACGGGCCTTCAACCATTCACATGCGGAAGGGGAAAGGGACCTTTTGCCTTCCCTGCTCTTCATACGAGACTTCAAGTAGAACATCACGATGAGAAGAGGAGAATGCAGATTCTGTCAACCAGTTCTACTTCGAAGATGCCGTGAGAACGTGTACACTGCATGCCGTTGCAGAAAATCACGACCAGATTGAAGATTCTCGCTGTACCCACCCACCATTCGCGGTGCGATGGGCCGAGCCACAAGACTGGGTCGGGTGTCTGAGGGGACAGTGTGTCAGCGATCCTTCTCGGGGTCTGTCGCCGGTTGGCTGATCTTTGCTCCTGTTATGCACGGCAGAGACTTGCAGTCACTGTCCAGTGCGCAAAGTGTAGGTTACGATCCTGAAAGGGAACGGTAGATGTGATTCATCCATTCTGGGCTTCAAGACTCTAAAATCTGAAGGAGCTTGCCTGTACCATGATTCCTACCAACCATTACCTCCGGAGCTTGACAGAAAAGCACGTCACTGGTTCAATTGTCCTTGTTCCGTATCAAAGCAGCAGACCAAGATATCCCATTCCGACCAGGAGCATCAAGACTTGCTGCATCATCCCATTCGAACCAGGACGTGTTGCCAGAGGATTCAGTCTCTGCGCTGCAGCCGAGGACGCGGAACTTGAAGATGGGCTGGCCGTTGAGGCTGCGGAGGTGCTAACAGAAGCTGTTCCAGACCCAGACCCAGACGTAGGCTCCGCAGACGATGATGGGATGGCTGGAGATGGCGAGGACTGCGACTCAACGTCCCCGGTAATGGCACCTCCCTTGGTTATCAGAGGGTAGACGTAGCTTCCATTCGAGAGCCCCAGCTCAGGCACGTACCAGCGAAGCAGGAGGACGAAAGGACCCGGCTCCGCAGGGGAAGGCAGCCAGTTGGATGTCCAATTGCTCGGTGGCTGGTCGGCCTGGACAAGGATGTCAAACGGCTTGTCCACAGTGGAATCACTGCCTGGTCCGTACACAGGAGAGCCATCTGGGTAAGTTATGTTGTCGCGGTCGCCTAGAGAATATCTATTAATGGGATTCTCCACAAAATAGCCGGCGACATTGTACATGGTGGCGCTCCAAAACCCGAGCTTCGTCAGGGGTGGTCTGCCGGAGAAGCGTAGAATGTAAGACTCGTTGGCCATCAGGCTGAGATTTCCGGAGAAGGAGGGATAAATGGCTTGGTCAGGCTGAAGCATTAAATAACCGAACTGCGCAATAAAGGCGCGAGCCACGATGTTGGTGCCATATAGACCCGAGTATTCCGGGTTGTTGATAGTCCACCCATTGCCCATGTTCAGCACGCTCCCATTGGCGAGAGGGAACGTCTGTACGGCCGTCTGGGCCGCCGTCCAAGCTGAGGTCATGTTGACACAGTTCGGTGCAGTGTACGCGGCCCCTGAAATGCCGGCCTGGGTGAAGTTGGATGTGGTGGGAGGAGACTTGTCCCCGGTGGCATTGTAAGGAGACACAGGCTCGAAACGTGCGTTCAGCTCCATGACGCTCTGCGCCGTCGAGTTTGGCAAGTTTGTGAACATGGCCATGTCGAGCGCAGGGCCAACCGCCGACCCATTACGGGATACCACGGTGATGTTGTAGCCTTTTATGATTTCGTTCACGGCAGATAAGTCGCTGGCTGCATTCCTGAGGAGGACTCGAAACAGAATAACACCAAAAGTAGTGGGCGAGTACACAGTACCCATATAGCCACCGCTGCTGCTAGATGTCGACAAAGTCCCCATGACACTGCTAGAAGGCGCCAGTGTCAGAAGATAGTCGCCGGTGGGATTGCCGCCGACGGGACCCAAATTCATGTAATTGTCCCCATATCTGAGAGGACATGATCAGCCGGAATAACGATAATGAGGACGAACCCTTGACATACGGCGTGTAGAATGAAACAGCAAAATAACGGTTGTCAACTTGTGGAACATCCACCACCAGGTCCTGCTGAGACAGATCGTACCAGACACTGGCATAGAGCGTGTCCCTGTTAGGCTTGACCACGGCTGTTGACTGAGGAGTGGCTAATGTAGAACTTGCAATGAGTCGATTTGCTCCTATACCTGCTTTGAACAGGCTTCCAACCGCTTTCTCGTAGGCGAGGAGCGGGATGCCATACTGTGATTGATCATGTCAATGTGCTTGCTCTATACTGGGCGGCATGAACGGGGTGAGATGCCTCGTACCTCCAAACTCCATTCTGTAGCACCTTGCGCAGCGCACGATGATCCAGACGACTGCGTGCGTGCTACCTGTGCACAGCCAACTAGGCAAACCAAAAAGAGAGCCAGAATATTTGTCGACATCTTGTACCTCTTAGGATCGCTTCACATTGTTCCTGGAGCCAGCACTTTTAGGGTATTGCTGTGGTCTTTATACCGCGCGCAAGTACCAACAAAGCTCGGCTATTCCAAGCTGCTCCATCTCTTTCACGAGGAGATCGGCATACAGTAGCGTCGTCCTTTTGAACTCCTCCTCTCGCCTGGACCTCGGTGCGTCTTGTAGATTGCTGTCCCCAGTATTCCGCCTCCCACAATTCTGGGGATGTGGGGAAAACCCGTCAAAGACGCCGATTTGAGGGTGTTGGCACCTGGCATGCCGAGGTACCTACCCTACCAAGTTGACTGACCAAACTCTGTAGAAATATGGTAAAACAAGGGGCTTTGGCGGTCAACATCTTACAAAGTGTCATGCTAGTTAGGTTTGTTACATGCATGTATTAAGTATTGAGTATTCTATGTCCTATCTGAGAGCGTTCCCTGGTCATTTTATATGCAAACATACAATTGGACTAGGAGTATAGCAGGCACCTCCCGAAACCTGCCATGGGTGAGAATCGACGATCAGCTTCTCAACCTGCCAATAGGGTTCTCAAGATGAAGCTTGTCGAGTAGCATGACTGTCTACTATCCCGAGAAGTAACTCGAGTCCACAACCGGGGCCCGATCAAGCTTGAAATAACCTGGCTGCAGGATCTGGAAGACCTGCTGGGGGTCGTATTTCTGAGCAATGCTCTTGAGTTTCGCCTTGTTGGTCGAGCCGTAACTTTTGATCACGTCCTCATACACGCCACCGTAGTTCATGTAGATGTAGTCGTTCTGCTTTCCGATCGCAGTTGCCGCAGCCTTGATCTGGTTCAACACATTCGTGATGAAAGCGTAGATGGTGGCGTCATCAGACGCGTTGTCCCACCAGCAAGCGATGTGAATCAGATAGAGTGGTCCGTCGGAAACAGAAATACCCAGAGGGTTGCCACCGTTCTTCTGCATGGCTTCGATCATCGGCAGCGTGATGCCCTGATAGATGAGAACTGGATTTGCGCCAGCCACATTTGCCGTAGCGGGTAGTGCCTGATAGAAGATATCCTTTGCGAGCACCGCCAGGGATTCGTCAGCTTTGACAGTCAAGCCATAGTATGTTTCACGCAGACCGTAGGGGTTCGATTGCGCCAACTCTTGGGTGTAAGCTGCTAACACTCGGTTTTGCGTCGTGTCTGAGACAGCAGTGAGGGCGTTATAATTGTTCCAGATTGCGGCACTTCCACCATTCGGTTGGGCGTAGTAGAGCTCTGTAGCAGCGAGCTTGGTCCCATTGTTCTCCAGCCAGGCAACCCATTGGCCTGCATTGCCGTCGTTCGGGGAATCCTCCACAACACCGGCAAAAGCCGCAGCAAGGCCAGGGAATTGATCTTCCAGGTAGGCACGGTCGCCGCCCCACATTTGGCCTCCGGGCAGGCTGATGGCATTAAGATTGAAGTTAACGACAATACCGAAGTTGTTGCCACCACCGCGAAGAGCCCAATACAGGTCGGGAAATGAGGTTGGCGAAGCGGTAACCTGGGCTCCTGAGGCAAGAACAACGTCGTACGAGGCAACGTTATCGCACGCCCATCCATAGAGAGAAGAAAAGAAGGATATTCCACCTCCAGTCGTCAGACCTCCGACTCCGATCGGTGCGACGCGTCCGCCAATCACTGCAATGTTGTATGGCTGGAGCGCTGTGTACACTGAATTCCAGGTGTTGCCCGGTCCGATTGCGACAGTCTTCTTGTCACTGGAAACCTTGATAGAGTTGAGAGCGGCTAGGGAGACAGTGATACCGCCTTCGATGTTGGAAGCACCTTGGAATGCTGCATGGCCGCCACTTTTGACCGCAAAAGGGCAGCTCGTCAACCGAGACAGCAGGACCACAACTGAGATGGCGTTTTTGTCAGGCGCTTTGAAAATGCAGTAGGGGTTCACATTCTCTTGGATCAGAGACCAGTAGCCCGACGTGAACGTGTCGTATCCAGCGTCATTGCTGAACTCGACTTTACTGCCACCGTAGAGGAGCTCCAAAGAGCCGCACTGGTCGACGTGTGTTAGCCAATGCTCGACATTGGAGTCTTCGTCCACTTACGGCAAGTTGACAAGCAAAGTTAGACGAGCGTTCAACAAGTTGGTCAACAGGAAGTGCGGACACGTTGACTCCCATGTCCACTAGCGCTTGAGTAACATTGAAGTCTGGAGGCTCGATTGCATCGGTCGAGTTAGTCGATACAATGTAGGCTGCAGGGTCGCCTGCATCAGTCGCGTTAGACTGTGCATTGACGGATAGTGCGAGGGCTGCCACGAGGCAGCTGGATACGAGAAGCATTGCCAAAGAAGGAAAGATACCAGAAGATCCCTGGTCCAATTCGAAGACCTCAAAAGACAGGGAAATGGACGAATATTAAAGAAGAAATAGAGGTCTTCTAGAGCAGCTTGGCCCACGTGGCATCCCAGGGGTCAATCTCGCAGTTTGGCCTAGCGTCCAACTTCATTGCAAAGGAAAGAAGGCATGGCCCTCAGACCACGGAAGTGCGGCTCGCGGTATCGCATTGTGGTAGATTAGAATCCCGCACAGACGTTTTTCTCATTTGCAAAGGCACCGAGGCGACGCTCGCCGAGGGAGCCGGTCAGTCTTCAAGGAGTGTCCTTGCCCGTTGTTCGGAGCGCTAGCAAGCTCGTGCAGCAGCCATGTTAAGGCCATGTGCACCTAGTACGAGCACCGCGTACTTAAATGGGAAAACATGGTTAATTTCCGGTACTCTGTAAATTACTTACCCCGTGCCTGACTCGGCTGAATTGCCAGGGCTAGGCCCTAAGAAACCGTCTCCCTGAGCTGGTCAGTGCTTTGAATGGGGGCGGGACATCAACAGATAAAGAGCGAGTATTCCACGTGAAGCAACAGCAGGAAATACCCAACGTCGCGCTGGGCACGATTTGCGGCTAGTTTCAACAGAATTTGCCGGGATCGGCAAAGATCAGCACACCCAAACCCCAAGCTCCACCTGCAACGTCTGAAGTGCCTGAATTTGTATGCAAGATACAGGGAGGCGAGGAGGGCAAGGGAGGATAGCGAGTGAAATGAAGCACCAAAACAACGGTCTGCCTCGGTTCTGCTCGGTTCACCTGCGAAACTGGGCAAAGTGGGGGGATTTGACGCTAACGGTCGGGTTGTATATCCCCACTGACGAATCGCCGTAGCGGCTCGACGCTAAGAAGGCCCGACTTCCGGTCTATACCAATATAGACCAATACTAGTAGTGGCTGTGGAGCCCGTCCACATACCAAAAGCACGGCTATCTTGGATTCTCTTGTTTGGCGATCAATAATGGAGCAAGTGGACTGATGTTTTCATCAGTCCCGAAGTCCATTATCCATGTGCCAATGCACAGACAGAATCATAACCTTTAGCACGCGACTCTCTCGTGTGTGAGACCCTGAAATTGGGGTAACGGGGTAGCCCTGGTAAGCACGACTTCGGCCCTGCAGTAGCAGGCTGGAAGCTTGATACTTGTCCTCGACTAACCGACACTAGGACGGACCTAGGCTTCACCTTAGGACGAAGCGCAACATGTTCCAGGACCAGCAGGCGTTGGGAACAACCCGTCCGGATTAGCTGCCAGCCGACTTCCTTCCCACGGAACTTGCCTTCGTCGACCTAACTAAAAGGCCATCGAGAAAGGAAAGGGTTGATGCGTTGAACTCCCTTTGATCTTCGATCAAAGCCCAACAGGCAATAAAAAGCTTCGTTTGGAAACTTCGCACCTTGCAGTGAGTCTTGCAGCGTGCAGAGTCCATGTATTCGCCTCTGGCCTTAGACCTGTCTAGCCTCTATTAGTCTGTTTGGACCTCTCGCTCCCTTTATCCTACCTATACCGGACCCAAACTCAAAAGGGTATGGAAGGCAGGATACGGAGTACAAGAAGACCAAAGCCCATCAGTCACAGCATCATCTGACTCCTCGTTTTCCTTTGTTCAGGACGACTTTGCGCAACCTCACCATTTCGATATGGGTGCCAATTATGTGACCGAGACGTCCGTGAGGGCGACTGGCATTACAATGATTGTTTTGACAACAATGGTCGCCGGCCTCCGCATCGGTGTATCTGTCGAGCAGCAACGGAAGTTCGGTTGGGACGATGGCTGGCTTTTGGCTGCCTACATCTTCTTTCTGGCGCTTTCAATCCTGTACATTGTGGCCGCGCCTGTGATGTTTAGACTCACCAAGCTTGCTAGTGGGGAGATTCCGCTGTATCCTACGGTTGCCGATGATGGACTCTTCATCCAGAAGATATTTTTTGTCACCACCTCGGGCTTATGGCTCTGTCTGTGGTGTGTCAAGTTCTCCTTGATGGCTGTCTACAAAAAGTTGATGAACTCCTTGCCGCACAAGCTCAGATTGTGGTGGGCCGTTATCATATTCTGCCTGGTGGTTTGTTGTCCCCATCTATGTCTTGATTTTTTGACTGGGCTGATCAGGCTAGGTTCTGGCGGGCGCAATCACCTCATCAATGCTTTCCTGCTCGAGCATGAAGGCTTGGTTTACAGCTGGTGCTTGTTCAACCCCTCGAGATATCAAGGCTGCGAGTATCAGCCTCTGGTACGCTTATGCGGTTGACATTCTCACCGATCTCATGAGTCAGTCTACATCTTCAGTTATGTCAAGCGGCTACTGACAGAGGTCCCAGTCATGCTCCTACCCCTTGACCTCATCTGGAGCTTGAAGATGCCAAGGACCCAGAAGGCGAGCATTGGTGCCCTCTTTTGCCTCGGGTTTATTTGTATTGCGGTAGCAACAATTCGAGTCAAGGAGCTGGGAAGCACCGTCAACAACAGTCAACCCAGTACTACCTGGCTAGCGCTATGGGGCATCGTGGAGTCCTCGATAGGTAGAGTATTCCCCTTGCTTTTCTTCCTCCATTTCCAGCCCTGACTATGTTCCAGCTGTCTTGATTGGCTGCGGGCCCGGTCTCTATCGCAAAGCAAGAACAATCTACCAA